GGACTGCTGCGGGGTCCCGCCCGGGCGGCAGGGATGGGCTCGGCGCCGTGGTTGTGTCCCTGCTGGATCTCGCCCCAGAGCGGTCCGGTAGCAGTGGCTTAAAGCCTTTTCTTTTGGGGGGGGGAAATGTATCAAGTTCCTATGTTGGAAGTGTGATCTGGTTAAGTGCAGCTCCTGGCACTTCGGTGGCAGCTTCCCAGGCGGGGAGGAGACCCTGCTGCCCGGGGTCCCCGCACTCCTGTCCCCTGTGCAGATCCTGGCTGGAGGTGGCCGCTCCTGGGGGCTGTTCTGCACAGGTGTGCCCCGCACAGATGTGCCCCGCACAGGTGTGTGTGCCCCGCACAGGTGTGTGTGCCCCGCACAGGTATGACCAGCCCGTGGGTCGGTGCACACCTCCTGTGAGCCACTACCAGCTTGTTCCTGTGCACCTTGGGTCCTTGCCTTCTGTTGCGTGGGTTGTGGAGTTGGGTCACAGGGCTGCTCTGGTGAAAAAAGATTCGGGCTGAAGAGTTTATTTTTGGTAAGAGCCTGGCTGGCTAAACCAAGTGACTGGGCGGCGTTGGAGCAGGGAGGAGGATGCAGCAGTGGGAATGAGGAGAAAGGATTAATTTCTCCACCACTAGAAGAGGTAGTTTGGTTTAGTTGAGGACTTGTCAGTGTTAGATTGATGATTGGACTCGGTGATCCTTAAGGTGATCTTTTGCAGCCAAGGTGATTCTGTATCAAGCTGTGCTCTGAAGCAGCAGCATGTGGTTTGAGAGCAAAGCTAGAGCCTGACAGCAGTTTGGGTCATGAAGGGACCACAGGGTCCATCCCGCTGTGGGTCTGGTCCCACGTTGCCTGTGATGCCAGTCATGTGTCTAGGTAGGACCAGGACTGTTTGACCTCTGCAGGGATGGGGCGAGCTGGGAGGGAGGCTGTGCTGCTGCTGCAGCAGTGCCAGAGGACATGGACAAAAAGCTTTTGAGGAGGGAAGGTGCTAGTGGTGGGACTGACTTGCTAGGGAGCAAGTCCTTCCAGTGGGGGTCCAATGCTCCTCCTTGCTTTCAGTTCTCCTTCCAGGAAAATGGCTGGGGTGCATTTCTTGCTGAGAGACTGGTCAGGTAAGAGCTTACATGTCAAAAGTAATTTCTAGCGTGCATGAAGTTGTGTGGCTTTTCTAAAAGAAAACCAACAGGAATTAATATTTAATGTATATTTATTTACTGACATTTATTTGTTTATTGAAGTGGATCTGCCCTAGTGGTAACCAGCCCAGTACTGGTGGAAATACTCACCAGGTGTGTCACGGAATCACGTAATAGTTTGGGTTGGAAGGGACCTTAAAGATCATGTAGTTCCAACCCCCCTGCATGGGCAGGGACACCTCCGTCTAGATCAGGTTGCTCAGAGCCCCATCCAACCTGACCTTGAACACTTCAGGGATGAGGCATCCACAGCCTCCTTGGGCAGCCTGTTCCAGTGCCTCACCACTCTCAGAGGAAAGAGTTTCTTCCCAATGTCTAACCTAAATCTTCCCTCTTCCAGCTTAAAACCATTTCCCCTTGTCCTACCACTACATGTCCTTGTAAAAAGTCCCTCCCCAACTGTTCTTTCTGATACATCTCTCTTTCAGAAAATGTGATGTTGTGAACCGTGGGCTCTCTGGATACAACACCAGATGGGCTAAACTGATCCTTCCACGACTGATCACTAGAAGTTCTGGTGCTGAGAGTACTGTTGCAGTTACTATTTTCTTTGGAGCTAATGACAGTGCTTTGAAAGGTAGGGTAGTTTTCTTTTTTATTCCTGGGACCTGTTCTCTTAAGACAGTTTCACAGTTTAGTAGAAAAGGCAGAACATTGCACAGACTTCTCCTGATGTTTCTCAATGAACCAGTTGCCCCCTTTTAATTTTTACAGTGGATTGTTTTCAGTCCTTCTGTTTGTATTTAAACCGTCCAGTGCCTTCTGTTTTTCTGTCTCTCGCCATGTTTTAATAATAAAAGTAAATTTCAGGTTGCTCAAGAAGTATTTTTATAGCCATCACCTAAAATTGAAGTTGGGCATCTGGCTGATTTTTCTACCTTTAGAGCAGTTTGATGAGTTCCTGGCAGATGGGTTGAGGAAGTGAGGGAGGGCAGCATTTGCATTTTCTTTAAGATAAGCATAGCAGTGCACAGAGCTCATCTATTCAAAATGATAACATTAATGTGTGAAAGCCTGACTGTCCATGGGAATTTTCAAAATTTTCTCTGCATCCAAGAGAGTTGAAGATATTAAGGTTTGGTTTTTTTCAGGTCAGGTTTGAGGTTGATTATGTGGTCTAATACAGAGATACAGAATTGGAAGAAAAAGTACCTTAAAAAGAAAAGGTGATTTTTCTTTTTCCTCCTGTGCCTTGCTGATGTTAGTTGGAGATGCTGTATTTAAACTCTTAATTTGTCTGCTTTGGATATTGAGGAAGAGCATTTTCCTACCACACCTTCTGAATGAGTGGTAGAGGTGAACTGCACACTGAGAATGAGTGCCCACAGTGGGCACTGAGAATGCTGTGTAGAAGGCATGTTAGGTTGTGTAAAATGCATCTGTAAGTAACTGAACATCACTGATGCATGTGCTCCATCCCCTAACAGACCTGAACCCTAAGCAACATGTTCCTCTGGAGGAATATGCTGCAAACTTGAAGAACATGATACAGTATCTAAAGTCAGTAGACATTACTGAGGACCGGATTATTTTGATAACACCACCACCTCTTCAGGAATCAGCTTGGGAAAAGGCGTGTCTTGCCAAAGGTAAAAGAATGATACAAATGGATGGAACTTCTGCATTTCACAGGCAGATTGTGAGTTACTGATCCCAGGCTGACAGGTGATTGCCTTTGTGCTTATGCCAGGTTGCAGTAGCGTTCTTGGAGTTGATGGAAAAGGACTTATAGCTGGTTTGCTAAACAGCTTTGGGATAAGCTTGTGGAGTAACTACCAACTAATTAGTAAAATATTTTCAAAAGCATTGATCATGAAACTGACAGAAGTGCCTGCCCTTTGAGAGCACAGGTTTTGCTGACATGTCCTAGGCAGTCTATGTCATGTCCTGGCAACTTTCGAAATAACATGAATGTTATGAATAACATGAAGAAATTCTGGCATTGTGTGCCTTAGAAAATTTTATGATAGTCACAGCATACTTCATGTCTGTTTTGATAAGCAGTAATACCCTAGCCAGGTTTATTTTAAATTTAAACACCCGCCCCAAAGATGCCATGTTCTAAAGATGCTAATAAAAGCACCTGAAAAAACAGCAAAAAGGTGATTAAGTGATTTCTCATTATGTTGTTCAAGCTAACTCTAAAAATAGAGACATAACAGCACAGCTTACTTCATGTTGCTCAGCTGCTGGAAATGGCCACAATCCCACTGACTCCAGCAGTGGCACCTTATACCTCCTGAGAGGTATAAACTCTTTTCCATGCTCAGTTCCTGCACTTTTATTGGAGACTTTTGAGTTAGAATCAGGTAAATGCAGAGCTGTCACCTTTTTATTTGCAGGGTTTTCTCTACTTTAGGTGGTGTTGCATATCCTGAGTTTTGTAATGAATCAAATAAGTAAGATTTTGACGATGACCTCATGTTTAAACTGCATGACTTTGCATGAAGGGGCTTCAAGGTGCATCAGTGACCTCTGTGCTGAGCAGCCTTTGGAGCATGTGGACTTCCAGTCTCATCCAGCAGGGTGGTTTTCATACTTAGTTTGGGAAAGGAACTGAAGTCCTAGAGTAATGCTGGCAAATTGTGTAAGACAGGAGCAGCTGTAGCAGGTCAGATCAAACATCAGCCATAGCTAGTACCATTTGGGACAGCAGACCCTTGTATAGGGCCTAAGGGATAGGTCAGGCACAGAGCCTGTGTGCTCGGCTCCCACTAAAGCTGCTGCAGCCAGTTTGCCAAAGATGCACCCATGTGGTCCTTTTGTAGATGTTAGGTGAGCACACCATGAATGCTGCTTGTCTGTGGCTCCTAGCTATCAAGTAACATTTTCAAAATGTTAATTTATTTTCATCTTAGAGCTACCTTTTTATGGGGTAGGGAAGGAGGAAACTTGCATTAACAGTGTTGAATCTGCCAGCCTCTGTCCAAAAGAGATTGCTGTCTGGGGATGGAACAGAAGACAGGGTGAAGCAGCAATATCAGGTCATCTGCCCTCCACCAGTATCCAGGAGAAATGTTCTCCTTTGTTTTGTCAGATAGATAGCAGTGTGAAGCATGAGGATGATGATGTTCACAGGCAGATTCGCCCAGGTGCAAAGAGAGATGCAAAAAGAATTTCAGCTTCCAAATCAGAGTGCTGTGGGAGAGAGAGTCAAAGCCCTTACTGAAGTCAGAGCTGCTCTTCAGCATCTGCATAGCTATCATTTTGTTGCAGAAGACAGTTGGGTTGGTCAAGCAGTATCTGGCTTTGCTAAATTTGTGTTCGAGGTTTGTTCCTGTCTTCCTGTGTTTGGAAATTAATCCCAAGAGAAAGCAACCCTGCTATCTTTCCCAGCACTGAGGTTGGCCTGAGTGATTGATAGTTCCCCAGGTCCTTTTCCTTGCCTTTCTTAAAAATGAGCAGAGACAACCTAGTGTTGGCACTAGGTTGTACCCCGACCTCTGCGTGTACCCAGCCAGGTTGGGGTGCATCACTGGGTTGACTCCTCACTCCTTCAGGACATCCCCCTATTCCCTGAGCTTCCTATGGGTCCTGCTTTTAGCTTATAAACCCAGCACATGCTCCTGCAGAGTTGCACATTGAGAGCAAACATGTGTTGGTGAGCTTCCAGAATGCAGGAGGAGATGAAACAGCTGAGAAGTAATCCTAGTAATGAAAGAAAAGGCAAAGGGAGAATAAGAAATCATCAACTGCTAGATGAAAAGGCATAGAAGGGGAAAGGGCAGGACTGTGCCTGAGGAGGTGAGGTTGTGCTCAACACAGGCAACTTGGCAGCAAAGGGAGCTCTGCATGATGAAGGCTGGAATGAGCTGAAGGGCCAACTCAGTCTGTGGGAAAGTTGAACCAGGAAGACAGCTGAAGACAGCAAGAGTTAGGGAACGTACTGTGGTGAGGCTGCTGAGGCTGCTTTTACAATAAAAAGAAATGGAGGCAAGAGGTGGCAGTGTGAAGAAGTGAGAATCACCAGGTGCATCAGATGCAAGGAGAGGGGAATGATGTAGGAGCTGATGAATTGCATGACAGGAAGACTGTGGCCAGGCTGTGTCAGTTGGGACTGCTAAATGTTTTCTTTTTTTCTGATTGGTAGGTGACAAATTAAATCGCCGCAATGCCACCACTGGGGAGTATGCCCAGGCCTGTGTTCAGGTAGCCAGGGATTGTGGGACAGATGTGCTTGACCTCTGGACGCTGATGCAAAAAAATCAGGTATGATGTCCCTAGAAATACTTTGTCATGATTTGTGAAATGCATCATTTAGCACGGGGACAGGCTGTAGTCCTGCATTATTACTGAAAGGATACAAAATATACCCATATTACACTTTGGGGAAGGAAAAAAATAATCCAGAATGCTTCATAGTGGGCTACAAGAAATAAAGCCTAATACAACCTGGCCATTATCTTTGATTAGCCAATGTCCCCTGGGTGTGTTTCCTTTGACTTAGAATCATGGAATAGTTGGGTCAGAAGGGGCCTCTGGCGGCACCTGATCCCACCCACTGCACAGCCCTGGGCTAAATTAAAAGTTAGATCAGGCTGCATGAGTACCTTGCTGATGGTTCTAACCAAATACCCAAACTTGTCTGTGTGACAGAGATTGCAGACTTTTCCCATAAGCAGGTAATTCCAGTTTGGACACTGAATCTTTTCTCTCTCCTGCACTCCTGACTCAGTATTTCCATTGCATCACTTAATCCTGTCATCTTTTCCTGATCACAGCACTGACTCTGACCACCAGAACATTCTCTTCATATCTTAATACAAATGGTGAAAAATAAAACCATTTGGCTTTGAAGTACTTACTTGACAATTACTCAAGACCTTCTGTTTGCAACTAGCAAATACATTAATCCGTGGTTGTAACTTCCCCTGTAGGATTTCTCCTCATATTTGTCTGATGGGCTCCATTTATCAACAAAAGGCAACAGCTTTGTGGCAGCACAGCTTTGGTCACGCCTGGAAAAAAAACTGTCTGCTCTTCCTTCACTGCTTCCTTACTGGCGTGATGTGGACCATTCCAACCCTGAGGCCACTCTGCTGTGAGATCCCCTGCAGCCAGGAGCTGAAGCAGCCAGGCCTGACGAGGCCCATCTGTTCACAAAGAGCCTGTGTCCAGCATGGAGCTGCAAACAGCACCTTGGTGGGGAACGGGGCTGTGGGGAGATACCAAACCCTGTGGATGCCCCTCTGTGTCCCCCTCTTGGTCTGTGGGAGAATAAAGAGGAGGCCACTCAGGGTGTGTCTTGGGGTGGTTTGTCTGCATGCTGCTTGTGCTGGTGGTCTGAACATCTGTGGGGATGAGCAGAGTCTTCCTTGGAAGACTCAGAGGAAAACAAGAGTCTCAGCTGCCCTGAGGAGTTTGTGACATAGGTGAGCCTTGGGGACTGCACCTTGATTAGTACTGTCTGGCTCTAAACAGCCAGGAGCTGATACAGGGCAGTAGTGTGGAGCTTGTCAAAAGCCATTTGTGTCAGTCCAGATTGATTTATTTGGCTGTAATACAGCAGTTAGAGCAGCAGTCTGCACTGCAGTGAGGTGTTTGGTAGTGATCCATTGTAGTTCAGAGCAGGGATTTTAAAGTTCCACTTATTTTGGCAACAGCAGCAGCAGCTTCTTGTATTTAGACAAACTTGGAGTTGATTGGACTAGATGGACTTCAGAGGTCCCTTCCAATCCAAAACATTCTGTGTTTTTTTAGAAGAGCACATGGTTTGGGGCAGCATAAAACTGGCGAAGCACACACTGGTGTTGAGAAGCTTGGATCTTGAAGAAACTACTAGAAGGGGTCTGGATGTGCTGGCAAAGCTGTGCCACATGTAATTTGCCACCACTGAGGAGACAGGTCAAGTGAGTCAGTCTTCAACTGTAATTTAACAACTAACATAACAGACAAGTTCTGCATACTGTTCTGCTCAGGACCTGGCCTTGCGGAAGCAGTTTCAGAAGGGAGCAAGGAGAAACAACAGGCTCACATCCAGCTTTTAACTCCAGGTTTGACACATGGAGAATTGAGATCTTTTCTAAAAGGACTGCACAGAAACAGCACTTGTTTGGCTTTTTGTTTTTTTTAATATAAAAATGTTTTATTGTATTGGGAATTAAATTAACTCCTCACACACATACTTTGCACTGAATCAAAAAAAAAAAAAAAGAAAACCCAAACAACAAAAAAACCCAAACAAAGTTCAAAACCACTATATAAAACACAATAGCTAGTCAGATAGGAATACCGTAAGGCACACATTCAAGTATTAGTGTAACAAGTATCCTTGGGTGGGGAGGAGAGCTAGGAACTCCTGCAATCCTTTCAGCACAGGTTTGGATCCTCTTCCTCACACAGAAAACACGAAGGCTTCCCTCAGCTGCAGTTCCCCTGTGGCTGAGCTCAGGCTTGTAACAGTTAAAATGGTTCCACCATTGGTCACATTTTATGTCAGTTTTATCAACAGATTATGAAGGGAGAAAACAGATGCAAAATTAAGATGCTGCTTTACTATCACAACAATTGCTCTGTGACTCCACTGTGTCAGTCCATCTGCTAAGCTACAACACTCCTGTACCAGTCCCAGCTCACCCTACAGACCTCTAGCTCACAGGACACCATCCAATTTACCAACTTTTAACATCACATTGTACTACTACCTGTGTGGAAATTTGAATTAATGAACTCTCCTCTCATACTTGCCCTGTAAATTTAACAAAATTTTATTTTTTATTAAATTCATGATAACTTTTTAAACCAATGCCCCCCCCTGCAGTGGAGTAAATCTCCCTTCCCCCATTTATTTCTGCAGTAGGAGCTTCCAAAGGCCACACAGACCCTGAAAAACTGAGGCTCAGCTCTTTGAACGTCTCAACAATAGTGTTAACCTATTTCAAAATAACGTGGAGAAACATTTTTGCACTGAAACTACTGTAAACAGCTGGTTAAAATGGTTGTCAGCCACAAATTATTTCTCCACTTCTTTCCCCTGCCAGATACCTGCAACACACAAGCCTCTTAATGAGGAGTGGGAACTCCCAACAAAAGCCTCTCTGCAATGGAGACACAAAGACAAAGACAACCTCACTGCTAGAGGCAGGAGAGTTTCACACTAGAGGAAGGTATGAGGTTTGACAGCCTCTGTATGACCCGTTTTAATTATTTAGAAGCTGTGTATCTTAAAGCTTCTTGATTCTGATTATGCATCTTCATTTAATGCTGTGGACTATTTTTCTCTTTTCATTAATCATTTGGTTCTCAAGGCATCTGCTTAGACTTTTGTTTCTATGTACCTTAACTTGCTAAACGATCTACTCTATATGGAACACACTGCAGTGTTTTCATTTTGTTTTTAAAAGCCCCTTAATATTGCCTATCAGTGCTGTCAGACTACAAAATATTAAGTTATAAAAAAGGCTGATATACACACTCCAATATCCAGCAGGATATTCGGTTTTGCACCACAGGTTGAAGGAAATGTTAAAGGTCAAGGAAATAGAAAAAAATCCAAAAAGCTTTAAAAACAAGCCAGTTTTAGTTTGGATTTTCCTTTTTAAAAGATATAATGCTCTAATAAATGTAATTTAAGGAAGGTCATACACATGACCAGCATCTGCAGTAGGTCACTTCCTTATTTCTCCCACTCCCTCACAAAAATATATATACATATATTTGTATTTATAGAAATGAAATGGTTTTAGATCCTTATTTTGCAGACACGAGTCATACACATTCAGAAGGCAGCAAGACACTAGCATTCTGTTTCTTTGCTGTCCACCCGGTTCTGGCGCTGCAGTTTAAAGGATGAAGCTTTCTCACTCCTAACAACAGGATGGTCTGTCAAGTCCTCAAAAGATTTGGCGGCCGAGCTGCTATTTGGGAAAGGATCCTTCTCAAACCCATCCTCATCGATGTGAGAGTCAGTGCTGGGGTCCTCCTGGATGGTGTCCATCCTCTGGTGGTCCTGTTTGGGCACAGCGGCGGCAGTGGGCACGGCTGCCAGGGGCTGCAGCGGCTGGTGCCGGCTGGTCGACTGCGCCGCAGGGAAGGGCTTGATGATGCGCACGGAGGCAGAGTCCAGGCTGCTGAGCATCTCCACGTTCTGCAAGACAAAAGCAGCCACTGCAGTGGGACAAGCAACCAGGACCTAATGCAGGGTTCGGATTTTGCGCTGTTTACAAAGAGGCAACGGACACCCCCCGAGGAGCACCCGCGCTTGCCAGAACTGTCTGAAGGCTCTTGCCTCCTCCCCTCAGCTCCCAGCAGGGCCGCGCCGACCAGCCTTCGTGCTGCCCCAGGCCATCCTGCCCTAGCCAGGCTGGACCCACTGGACTGCTTAGAAAAGGAGTCAGATGGTGGGTTTTACATTAGATTTACACTTAAGAGCAAGGTAACATCCAACAGAAGTACTGTGCTGGTTTTTTCTCAAGAAATCCAGCTAGGCTAAGCACTAAAGGCAGAAAGGGCTGTTTATCTCTGCTTGTTCCTTCTCCATTTAAAACACCACAGGTGACAACCTCACTGGGGCAGAGCTGACAGCTCAGCCCCACCTCCCCTGGAGCCCAGCACTGCTCTGGCAAAGCCTGGGCTGGAAATGCAGCTTAGTCCACTCTTCAACCTGAAGCCTTCCCTGTTTCATGTGCAAGAAGCTGCACTGAACACAGGGATTGGGAGTAAAGTGCTGTTTTATTAAAACCTCCCAAGGGTGTTTGTGGTCCCTCCTCCTACTGCACAGAGAATCAAAACCAACCTCCCTCAGCCCATGGGGATGAGACGGGACATCTCCCAACTCACTATCTACACAAGGTCAGAAGTGTCACTGAACAGGTCCTGGCACCAGGTCTCCCATATGCAACTGCAAGGCTTCAGCACACCTGGCCACTAGCAGCTGACTCCTACAAACAATAGTTCTGCAAACACACCACATCTTGCAGAGACTTTGCAGCCTCTCCCCGCTGAGCCTTGTGCTTTGCTGACACCGCTTGCCCGGGAACAAGCGGTCTGTGGTTGAAGCTGCTGAATGACCCATGCTGAGGGGACCCATGCACAGGTGCCCGCTGAATAGGAAGGGACAACTCTCTGCTGGAACATCTCTCCAGCACTGCCCTGTGTCAGCCCTGTGCTGATCTGCAGAGAGCTATCCCAGCACAGAGGTGTCCCAGACGGCCTGCTGCGCCGAGCAGCCCCCTGCAGAGCAGAGCAGCTTCCTGCCCCGGGAGCTGCGGCTGCTGTGAGGCAACTGCTTGTCAACAGGGCTAAGCCACAGCTCTTACAGGAAGGGAGAATCAAGAGATTGCCAGGCTGAAGGGCTTGATATATCAAACACAAGCTTGTTCAAGAAAACAGCTTCCCCTCAAACTGATTCATCCACCTGCATTGTGAGGCACAGTGCTCCAGGTCTATTATCACTTCTTTTCTAAATACTCTGCACACACTTTAGGTTCAGATTCTCTAAAACACATTGAATAACTTCCTGCCAATTCGTATTGAGATATCAACTTACACTGGGGCAAAACAGGGATTTGGTGTTCTCCTCATACTGCTTGTCCAATTTCTTGTCCTATTGGAAAACAAATGAACAAAACCAAACCAAAACACACACAAAAAAAATTAGAAAGTTAGTTTCCCAATTGCAAGGTCCCTGTCCTTGTTTTCCTGCAGGGACACAGCAGGGGTTGGGGCTCTTCTCCCTTCCCCTACCTCCTATACCTTCCTATCTGTCCCAGGGAACTCGTGGGGACTTTAATGCCACAGTGCTGTCAGCATCACTCCACATGCCCACACTCTCAGCTGCTGTGAGCTCCCTCTCTTACTTATCCACCCGAGCTTAACTAAGACCACTTCCCACTGTAGGTCTCCCCACAGAACATGGGTGTCTTATTTCTTAGCAGGCCTTTAGAAAACTTTTACTCTAATGAAAATTACCAAAATTAAACTTGAGTAGAATATGGGAGGCAGAGGAAGAAAATCTGCCTAGGAGAAAATGGGAAAGGCTTTAGGGAATATTCACAGGAGCAATGGGTCTCCTAGAGCCTGGCAGAATTTAGCAGGAGTTTTGCCTCTAGCATTAAGTAAATGCTAGATTCCCCCCCAGGGTTTGCTAAAAGCTTCCCATCACCTTCTCCCACAGACATCTGCCATTTCATATATGAAGGGTGTTCTCTTACAGCTCAACCCAACAGAGCAGTCATTGCCAAGGCAGCTTACTCACCACACAATGCACAAGGATGCTGAGAGGAATCCAGAAAAGTAAGGAGAAGACAAGCACAGAGCCCACTATATTATCTGCTAGGAACTTCCCTGTGAAGAAATTAGTTCAAATCTATTAGTTACCTACCAAATACTGTTTCATAAACATACACATCCATCCCCATTCTGCAGCCACTACTCAATGCAAGTCAAGGCACAGAATTGCTTAGACAAGCACAGGCTGAAGGACTAAGCAAAGATAGAAGAAATTCTACAATTTTAGAAAATTGTATCCAATGTGTTAACAGTAACAGGTTTTTTCCCCTGTCCTTCTCTGACGAGAAATGCTGACAGGCCATTAACATTTAATATGAGTTGAATTGAAAAAGGCTGTATTGACCAACCCAAGCTGTCTCTCTCAAAATACACTGCACACACACTGCAAGTCTGTTACCAAATTCTGGTTGTATAGTCAAGTGGTAACTACCTGCCTCCACAAACAAAATATTTTAACATCTAAGATATACAAACTGCCTCTACCTGAGCAGACCATGTAGCTTTAATGATTATCTCAGAAATGACTTTTTTACCCTAGAACTCAAGAGTGAAATCCCCAAACCCAGCTAATGACACTCAGTAGGCACAGCATTTCCATGAGCATATGGAGTTACCCAGTCACCACACAGCACTGCTTAGTTACCAGGCTTTGTATGGTTCCAGTGACACAGAGTGAGACACTGGGGGGGTTACACCCAGGGTTACCCACTCAGATTGCATGGTGGGGACAAAGACCAAGGGGGCCCACTCACAATCACTGGGCACACAGTTGGAGATGAGTGACCTCAGTGGTCTTAAAGAAGAGAGAAATTAAGTTTTCCTCTCCCAGTCTGTTGACATCTAAATCCCACTGATAGCCCACTTTATACTATGCTGAACCTAGCTGACCTCTAAAAAGACTGTTATTTCCTTTTCTCTATTTGACCTACTTCTTGGTATTCAGGCAAGAGGCTATCAACCCCTTTACAAGCTTGGATGATGCCCACAAAATAACAAGAGTGGAAAAATGCAACATAATCCAAATCATTTCAGCTTTAAAAGGTGAGATCAGTATTGTCAAATTTTAGGAAAAAAAAATATGTCAGAAACACAGCTACTAGCTACCCTTACATACAGGTGAATAAAACAGCCAGCTCCCTCTGAGGCTTTAGAGGTTCATGTCATGAACTAAAAAAAACCCCAAAGGATATTGTTACACATCTTACCAAATGTATTGATGCTGAGTTGGTCTATAAAGTCCCAAAATCGTTCAATCACATCCTGTACTTGCTTCTCACATTTGCCCTGCAAAAGTAAACACCTATTTATAAAATAATCTCAAGCTACTTAAGTGTTAATTACTGCCTTCTTAAGAGAAGGAAAATGATACAAAGAGGTTAAGGAAATGAAAACTACAGACACAGCAGCACATGACATGCATTCCAAATACAGCTTTATGCTCATGCCCAGCAGCAGCAGGCCATTTTTATTGCCTTTATTTTTGGCAAAAGTTTCAATTCTATTGCTGTCTGAAACATGATGTTTTAAAGCTTGAAACATGCAAAAACAACCCTACCCTTGCTCCATGTTAGGGGACATAAAACTGAAGCTTCTGGAGAGCTTTAAGTCCTGGAAGCCTCAGTTTCCATTACTCACCAAGAAGGCTGCAGCTCTCAGGAGCCCAAGGTTACAGACGGACAGACTCTGGCTATGCTGGTTTAACACAACAGTTCACTGCCCTTTCAGATCTGCCAATGGAAGTCTGAGGTGTGTCCTTGCAAATTCACTCCTACCAACACTTAGTTTAGCTTTGACTGCTGGCGACATGGCTGTCTGTGCAGCTGTACCACAGAAACAGTCACTGAGTGCCAACAACCCACCAGTCTCCTTGCCATGGGCTCACTGCCCCTTTCAGATATTGTCTCATGTGATTGCTGCTCCCTGACAAATTAGTCAAAATTAACTGAACTAATGTGAACAACTGAAATAGCAAGTGCTGCAAACCTAGCTGAGGTTAGGAGAGAGCTCATTCACCTCCTCTGCCCAAACTGCCAGCTGGCTGAGCTGTAGGGAGCAGCAGAAGGGAGTAACAAGCTACGGCAGAAGGTTCCTGCTTTACTTTGCACAGGTCTCTGCAGAACTGGCTTCCATCTGCAGCCTCAGACATCGATTAGTATTTTCCCCACGGGGATATACTTACACAGTACCATCCAGCTCTGCAGCAGGTCAAGCTTTGGCTTCTCTTGGCCAGCACAGTCCCTGTCACAGAGGACTCGAGCACCCAACCACTGCAGCAGAGCATGCAGTGCACTGACATCTGGGGAAACTTACATTTGTATCACAGAAGCCCACGGTGCAAGGCTTCCCCTTGCGCAGGAACAGGAACTGGTTGTTAGCATCCACATAGGGTATGCACCTATCCTGCTCATCCCGGCAGCACACCTTGCAGGAATTGTCTGTTTCTGTAATAAAACAACACATTCATTCCTCAGAAGCACCAAGAGTTACCTACAACCCGTAACCATAAGATGCATAACCCTCATGTTCCCTGGCTGAATGTGCTCCTGTCCAGCTTCCCCACAGGGAAGGTAGGACTGTGCCAGTCAGCCAGTTGCAGTTACTCTGATGAGCAAGTGTGAAACTCAAACAGATGCCCTGTGCAACATACTAGGGCACACAGTAAAATTGAGCTCTCCAAGGTGACACCCTAACACTGCAACCATCAACAGGCAGGTGAAGGGGTTCCAAACATGTCTGAGACACAAACTGAAATATTTCTTGGACTGGGGTCCTCTAGGCACCTTCTCCCTGGCTATGCCTCCATCTGGAACAGGGGGGCTCACAGCACTTCCCTGCACTGCCCCGTGAAGCTTTCCTCCTGCTCCCAGCTCCTTTACCAGACCCAGGAGCTAAGACGGAGAGCAAGTGAACAGTAAAGCTCACTGACAGTCCTATCTGACAGGCAGGTTTGCAGCAGCAGAGGACTGGATTCAGGGGTGCTATGTTCTCAAGGCACTTTAACCTCTTTGAAATCTTTCTTTAACCACTTGTTGGAGGCTACTACTCCTCTGCCACATGCTGGGTCCAGAGGTTGGTTGGGATCTCTTTACAGAGAACAGTCAAACCTTCCCTCCCATTTGCCTGTGGCAGAGGGAATGGAGGGTGGGAGGGAGCCCTCTCTAACTGGAAGGCCAGACCATAAGTGTCTGGGCACCAGCAGTGTGCCCAGGTGGTCAAGAAGGCCAACAGCATCCTGACTTGTATCAGAAACAGTGTGCCCAGCAGGATTAGGGAAGTGATTGTTCCCCTGTACTCAGCACTGGTGAAGCCACACCTCGAAGAGGTTATCTTCAAAAGGGTTGTCAGGCACTGGAACAGACTGCCCAGGGAAGTAGTGGAGTCACTGTCCCTGGAAGCATTTCAAAGATGTGTAGATATGGCACTTAGGAACATGGTTTAGTGGAAGCTGGAAGTGTTAGGTTTATGGTTGGACTCGATCTTAAAAGGTCTTTTCCAACTTAAATGATTCTGGGTCTCATCTTAATGTCTTCACACCCAGACCATCAGAGGACAAGAGGACATATACATTATTTTTCCAAATAGAAAGCACTAGCCCAGACAAACTAATATTTACATTTTTTCAGAAAAAAGAAACTGTCCTCCAACAGGCAAACCCACAGCAAAGCCAGTACTCTTGGAGGAGCAGAGATGAAGTACACACTGCAGTTCAGTCCCATGTCACTCACCATTGCACGCACATGACCGTAGGTTCTTCTCCCTCTCGCAGAAAGGGACACACTCCCCATCCTTGCACTTCCCCATGTCCACACAGACTGTGTCATCTGGAGCATTCCCTGGAGGAGGGCACTCGCTGCTGTTCCCTGCAGATGGGGGTCGACAGGGTGGGAGGACTGTTAGAGCAAAGGGCAGAGCACCTAAGTGTGCAGAAGAATAAAGGAAATCCAGATCCTGGGGGGAATCCCAAGAGCTTGTTCTTGGCTTTCATCTGCAGGCTGCCTGCCAGCTCCTCAAAGGGGCAGCAGAAGCTTTGGAGACTTTCAATAACTTGGGCATTGTGGCACTTTGGCAACCAAGCAGTAGGTAGCAGACCCTGGAGGCACCATCAGCAAAGCAGGAGCTCTGACTCAACTCCTTACCCCCAGAAAAGCTTACAAGGAGGAAGTAAACAAGTGGACAATTGAAGTAGAGTTGCAATAATTCCACCCCTTCTATGGCAAGATTCAGCTCTTTCTTGTTCCCTCCCAGTGACACACACTGTTTTGCTTTTCCTTCTTTTAAGGGAAAGGAAAGAAGAAAAAAGAAATAATTTTTAAAAATAATTTTAAAAACCCAACATTTTTCATTTTCTTCTGGGCAGTAAATCACCAAATGACTCCTGTACTACAATGAAACTCATTATAGGGCAATTTTGTGATGCTTAACTGGTCTCTAAAATTACATGTACTGGATGAAAAAAGGACACTAGTTTGAAAGCAGATCGAACAGGACACAGCCTGAAGCACTTGGCAAGCTGACATAAATGGGACAGAACCATGTCCTACCAGTGCAAAAAGACTCTCCTTTACAAGTGGCATTTATGGCTTCCTGGCATTTCTTCTGTGCATTTTCAAACTGGCAACCTTTACAGCAGGGACTGTTCCGATCACTGTGGAAAGAACAAAATGAAAGGAAGAAATACTGAGCTTCTTTGTTGTGTTTTTTTTAGAAGAATTATGAGCATGACATGGCCAGAGAAAAAACAATTGTTTAGAAAAAAAATAACATAAAAGCAAGCTACTTTGACTGACTGATGCAAAACTTTTGCCCTTCTACTCCCTCCCAGGACCACCTTTCTACACACCCACTCACTCTTCATTTACCAAAAGTAAAAACCTATAGAAAGGGCAAGACATTGAGAGACAACACAGGGACCTCTGTATTTATTCAAGGCACCCAGATCCTCTTGTCATTTGCTGTGCAACTTTGGGCTAGATCTTCCACTTCCTCGTTCGTCCTGAAGGTTTTACTGCTCTTTATTCTGCCCTCTCTTTTATTCTCTCGCATTTTGCATTTTATAACTCTCTCTTTGCATCTAATGCAAGAAGACTCTAAGTACAAACATAGTCATTAAAGTTGAGGGAATTTCAGGCTAAACAACGGGAGTTGCAGGAGTTCTCTACTGTTACACAGAGCTGAACTCTGAAAAAACAGATGGGACACAGCATTGCAACAGGGACATGAACACTCCAACGAGTAAGAACAAAAAAATGACTCATTTAGTGCAGTTACTGTGTTGCCTGCTCAAACATGTTTTGCAGCAGGCCTTGAAAGTACCAGCATCCCATTTTAGTGCCCCCTTGCAATGCCAGCAAAAAAAATGCATTTGCACATAAATTTGCACAGGAAATGTTTAATATTAATTTTTTAATGTCTGATTTTTCCCTTAAATAAAAAAAGCAACCATCATCTTTGAGCTTTTAACTCTTGGCAGTTCTCAGTAAAAGTATCAGAATGCTATAAAAATTAATGTATGCAAACAGTGTATGCACATAGCAGCCTTCCCTGAAATTCTGTATTATCTTCAGCTCACATGTTTCACCTCACAGCCAGGAAACAGGTCCATGACCCTGCAGGTGGCTTTAGCAACTTTCAGCCCAGCCCATCGTTCTCTCCCACATTAAGAGAAGTTGCAGCTTATTTCCCCTTACCTGCATTTGGCACCATCTTTCAGTTTACAGTCTGCTGAGCAGCAGGGATCAGCCTGTTGGTACAAGAGGCCAGGATCGCATTCCTCCCCTTCATCCACCCTGGAGTTCCCACACACTTTGTTGTTGCGCTCTTTGAAGCATTCCTGGGCCTTGATCTCTATGGTTCTATGGATGGATTTTTTGCTGCAGCTTGAGAACATCTAGAGAGTTACATGGAGAAAGAACAGCACTGAGGACTGTACCTTTCTGTCAAGAAGTGCCATCAAACACAGTTTCAGCCTCCTTATGCCCCCAAATTCTGGTGCCTCAGAAAGCAGTTAATCCCTCTATGCTGCCAGTTTGATACCTTGGAAAAAGTTTAAGAGGGGAAAGTAACAGCTTGGCCCATAAAGAACTTTGCTATGTTGCAATGCAGGGACACCCACATGTGGTTTGGCTCGAAGAGCCAACTCCAGCTCTCCAACAGCTTCTGGAGCACTAGCAACCACCCCCCGGGAAGGGATGCAAAGTTGTAGCAATGGGGAGAGATTGTGCTGCCTCATGACAGGGGGGTAGGCTGAACCACAAGTTAGACCAGATTGCAGACTCATCATTCCCTCGGTAATCCTGGTTTCTTATCTGCAGAACAGGCACAATGCCAAGTCCATACTGCCACTGTGAGCTTCTGAGACTGGTGAGCACCATGGCTGTGACATCTGGCAGCCTCTCTCCAACAGGAATAGCTATGGACCACCCAAAGGCTATTTGGTACTGTATTTGACTCTTGCTGACAATTTACTTTTAGCAGCATGTTGCCACAGTTAATTACAAACAACTAATTAAAAAAGCACCTGGACACCCTCTGAATTCCAGTGCAACTCAGAATCCAAGGATGAGCTTTTCTTGCAGAGAACCCAACAGCATGCAAGAATGTTTTCTTCTTATGGCTAATCCATTACATTCCTGATGTTTCAAGCTACAGGAATCATTAACCAAATAGACTTTCCATGCAAAGGGTCACTGGCCATAGCAGAAACTTATACATGGAAGCAAAACTATGCAACTGTACCTTATTGTTTTCATGATCTCCACTGACAGCAATTGGATACATAACATATTTCCCTCCCTGGTCTTCAGTCGGGGCACATTCTGGCAGACTATCAGGATCATGCTCTGCTCCAAAGTTATGTCCAAGTTCATGTGTTGTAACCAGGTCAGCCTCCTTTTATGAACACAAAAAACAACAATGCTGAAAAAAAAACACGCTGAGCAGGACAAGACAAAATACCCCAGCTAGTTCCAGGCCACCAGTAATTCAAGATACACTGAGATGGAAAGGGATTTGTTTTGGTTTTTTTTTAGAAGTGAGAAACTGAAGGCAGGTAAAATTATGGTCCACTTCCAAAGGCAAGTCCCAGAACTAAATCTGAATATTAAACCACTGTTAAAGGCAAAATGCTGTCCTAGAATACTGATTCAGTCTTGTTTTCAATGCAACGCAGATACTTTAATTGTGAAAAATTGCTTTTAAATAGCTGGAAGGCATACACAGTTGAAACAAAAACCAATCCACACACGCACCAGCTACTACAATTAGTCAATTTCTTGTTTAACATCTCTCGCCATTACAATTATTTCTTCTAAATGGATGATGACACTAGGAGTGCTGAATAAGCTCTTCTATTGCCTGATTACTAGGAAAGATATCTACGAATGTGGCCCAACAAGGTTGAATTTCCTACATAATTTATGCAAGACAAGACTCCTCTACTGAGGATCTCAAACCAGTTCTGCCTCGTTGCACTGCACGCCTCCCTGCTGTGCCTTGACCAGCTGACAGTGTGAAGCTCACGAGGTGACAACCGCAAAACCAGCACGGAAAGAACAGTTAACCACAAGGAACTGAGCAGTTTAAGAGAGAGAGAAGCAAGTTTGATGAGGTAACTGCCATTTCAGCTGCTGTGCAGGCACAGGAGGGACCAAGCACTGCAAGAAGCAGCACAGGTACCCAGTGTAAGCATGGCTAATGCAAGAGCCAGAGACAGGAGAGCTGCCCAGACATCCCTCCCATGCATCGTGTTCAGTTTGCAGAAGGGATTTTTTTTGTCTTTCAAAACCCAAGTGGACGCTGCTACACTCATGAAACCAATTCATAATCCTCCTACTGCCTCATCCCAAGCTTTGTGACAGCCACCGACCGGGAAGACGGAAAACTCAATTTCCTTTGTAATCCAAGGCAGAACTCCAGCTTGGAGATTGAACAAAAAATGCAAATAGCATGGCAACCACTAGAGCTCTTTGTCAATATCCCTCTCTCACAAAGGTCCACTGTCTTTTTTATTTCTAGCCTCTTGACAGCTTCTGTGCCAAGTTTTAGCCCACACACCAATTACGAATTCCCTTTATAATCAGAGTACAGAAAAGCACAACTGAGAAGTCAGCAAGAGAGAAACAGGCACAACTGCAAAGATTTGGTAGATGCAAACACAGGCACTGCTCTTGGATCTTCAAAAGTGAGATAAAGCTCATATTCAGGCTTTTAAAGACATACTACCTCAGCAAGTATAAAAAAAAAAAATAATCCAGACAAGTATCAATTTATATTACCCTTAGTATCAGCATTAATAAGCCTGACCTATCATACTGTTCTCTGCTTTATTCATTCAGGGCACACACAAAAAACAGGTAAAGAAATTTCATTAGAAGGCCCAAACTATACCTCTTACTTAGCTTGCACTACTTTCACTGCTTTACCTTGCAAATGGAACCAGGCGTACAAAATTGTCCACCTGCATGTTGCAAGTGTACATAATAGCAAACACACATTTTTCTTATGAGTCTACTGTTAATCTATTGAGACTAATTTCATTCTTAATCTTGTATTATAACATTAATACTTGTTGTATAATATGCCTTGTTCCATTTTAGGTTTGGGTTTGTCTGCTGGGTTTTTTTTAAAGCAAAATACATTAAAATTCATCTTTAGATACCAAAATCCTATTTATATCTGGACAACTAAAGCTCACATTAGACACTAGCTATGTTTCCTTGTTCCTGTTCCACAATGAATTCAACCTTCAACTCCATTCAGTCCTGAGTCCCTTTGTCAGGAAGAACAAAACTGATGATTTTGGTTTTGTGACCTACATCTTTGTCCCCAGGGACCTGATGCAATCAGAAAGACAGTAGATTGTTTCTGAGAGAGCACGGAAGCTTGTCAAAATCCCATGGCACACATGACCAACACACATGTATGTACACCAAATGTTCCCACTCTGCAGAGAATACTCCCCTACCTTTGTAAGGATGGTCTTCCCATAGTTCTTGGTGCTGGTTAAGCCACTGTTCAGATAGATGTCCTTCTTGGCAATTTGACTGTAATAAGCTACAGAAGTGAGAAAGAAACAAATCAAAAAGGCCAAACTTTTTTCTTAGGTTTCAGGGACTTTTGAGGGAGACAGTGATAGTTGTTTGGGTATATGAACTGCTTATTATTCTCCCAGGCTTGCCAGTGAGACCCTGCCTCTTGCCAGCTTTTGGAGTGGGGGAATCTCAAGCACAGCACAAACAGCTCATGTACTGCAGTAAAGGGGAAAACAGAAGACATTTCCAAGACAACAGCATCAGCCATTCCAGAAGCGCTGCCCATACAAGGCAGCCCTTGGTCTAGGGTTTGTTTTAGCCAGCTTGTTCACACCAGAGAGTTTAGTGACTTTTATCCCTCCTCTCCCTTCTTTTTCCAGCTCCAGTCAAAAGAATGGCCATCTATTCTAGCCAAAAAACTACAAATCATACTCTGCGAAAGTTGGAGAAGATTAAACACAAATAAAAACTAGCATTCCACACACAACTGGAAGAGGAAAAAAACAAAGTCTTGCCTTTAGGGCAAATGCCACCATGGCTGTTAGGCCTGGGAGAACCAACATAAGCCAATCCAAGTGTTCCCATGTCAAAATCTTGATATGTGAAGAGATGAGCAAGGCACACATGAGCTGCTTTCTCAGCAATATCGAAGCTAAATTGCTTTTAAGAGAAGGAAAAAAAAAACAGTCAAATATCTGCAAAACATTTACAGTGTATATTAGAAGTCTATCGATAAGGAAATTTATCTAATGTGCGAGACACGCACCTTCTAGATCTGGTTAAGTCAAAAAAAAGCAGCTGGTATCTGTCCTACAGAGTTGTAGAAAATTAAATGACTACCCAAGCACACTGTACATATCATTGACATAATGTGTCTGTTCATTTCTCCTTGGGAAAACCAAGCACAATAATTTGATGAAGGTCACAAGGCAGCCAGTCTAAGGGCCAGACATATCAGGACTGCCTTTCTGATTCAGGCCACTTATTAATAATTCTAAGTTGTGTGTGCTCTATAATTACACAATTTACCACAGACTACAGGGCACAGCAACTAGTTTGATTTTCTGTAACATACACACCTCATGCAAATGAAGTAGAGTTTTCCTCTGATACCACAGAGCAGCTGTATGAATGAGTAATTCTCTGTAAGTGGCACACTTTTTCAAGAGTCAACCTACCTCTAGCAGCATTTTCACATCCCAGGCATCTTTCTTATCATCTGGGTAACTTTTTGCCATATTGTAATGCTTTTCTCCACGTTCTACAGGACTTGGCTCATTGTGGATGAGAATCTACATTTCAAAAAGGGCAACAACAATGTAGAGGAATTTTGATCAATTTTACAGCTACAGAAAAGTTTTCAATGTAATCTTAAATGTCTCAACAGATCTGCAAGAAGAAAAATTCAGACTCAGCATGCTTCTAATGTTAACTTTTCAGCCTGCTAGTCAAAATACACTGACTACATTGTAGTCAACTACACAAGCCATTTTACAGAGCAATATCAACAGTTTTCACTGCAACATTCTGCTTTGAGATGCATGCTACTCTATCAAAAAAGACCACCCAAATACAACCATGATTTACATCTAATATAAACAACTCCAAATGATTCCAGAGTTCTAGCTAACCAAAGGATTCTACTTTCCCAGTTACTTAGAGTTAGTGCATCATTTTCTTTCCCCCTCCCCATCCAATTAACTCTGCTTCCTTGTTCCTGCACACCTTTTCCCAGCAAAGGGGCAGCTAGCTTGTACCATGAGTCCCCACGTTTCACATCACAGCTCTTGGCAGTACTCCGAGCCAAAGGGTTCCTCTTCTGTTTATGTTCTTTTCCAGATTTCTGTGCACTAACTTTCAGGACCAGTCATAAAAATTGTAGCCACTGCATCCCGTGTGTCCATCCTATACCAGCCTCTCCACCATCATAGTATCATGAGGATGTGTTTTTTTCATCTATGTTTGGGCCCCACTCAGACTTTTAAGCTAAGCACTAGACACAGATACAAACATAAGATTTAGAAAGAGTATATGCCTGACAGAAACAAGAATTGCTTGTATTTTGGAAAAAAAAAAGCACCTTTGAATTGGCATTAAATACAAAAGAATGTCCCTGAAAACTCCTATCTCAAAAGGTGCAAGGAAGTGAAAATGGATATGTCGTGTCAGAACATTAACACCACCTCTGGCAAGCTATTTCAGCATGCTCCTGGCTGGAGTTCATAATGTAGGATTTGATCATTTTATCCCTAATCCAGATGAAATGATCAGAAACCTTGATATCCAAAACATATCCTGATCTGTGAAACTAGAAGCCCGTGGATAGTTCAGTGGATACCTGCTCTATCTGTATGCCGTACCCATTGAAGGCCCCATTGTCCCAGGATGTGTTTCGGTAGATGTCATCCACTCTGTCTATCAATTCAATCTATGTAGAAAAAAAACCAACAAGTTATTTAGTTCCAAGTTTTCATGTAATAAAGTTCAAAACCCACTGGGAAGCTGCAACATACTTATCTAGAAACACTTCAAATGAAAATTGAACCTCATCTAACATAGAAGACATACTCACTGTTCCAAAAACAACAGCACTGGGATCCAGAAAGTATTATCAAATATCCCTGAACATTTTCCATCATAGAAAACCCGTACAAATGTTCCCATTTATCACTTTCATTTATGTAGTAGAAGAGTGATAATATTAATTAACAAGACATCTTGTGAAACGTTCATATACTAGTTTTCTGTGTTTCTTTGAGGAGAAGGGCAGAGGAGGAAGTTGCTTTTACCGCTTTCTTTTAGCACGATGCTTAAATACTTTAGGCCTTTAAATGCTTTAGGCCTGCTTCCCTCTCCATCAGAAAACCTATTATTTTCCTCATTGTTGTTCAAGTACAAGGTTCTAGTAAGTCTATTGTCAGTGCTCACTATCAATACATCCCTTTTTGTGCTGTTCTCATCTTCTTAAAAACCACCATCTACTAATTACAAATGATCAAACTTGCTCAGAATGAAAAGTGACATTCAGAACCACTCCACAGTAATTTGTGCTTTAATTTTCCACTCACTGTGTTGTTTACAGTACACATCTATCCAGGAAACACAACAGTAGGTAAGGCTGGAAGAAGTACATGTCAGATACTGAGACAAGAGCATCTCTGCAAATACATTAATTGAGGCTCTGTTACATGGGAAATGTAAACATTTCTGGGGACAGAAAAGTCAAAAAAGCAGTAAAGATAGAACAGAGTGATTAGCATTTCAAAGATTCAGGCTCAGAGAACTCTTGGCAAAGGGCAGGCCTCCTTTAACTTGTTTTTGTTTTGAGTCCCCAAACCCATACACTCCACTTCTGCTGAAAGGCTGTGGGTAGGTGTTCTATTTTACACAAACTTATCAGGTATACAATCCTTTTGTACTAGTTTTGGCTGGGTTACTTGGTAACCAGTACATGTGATGGAGCCTTGTTTTCCTGAGGATGGCTGAACACCCACCTGCTAATTCCTAATTTTGCTTTGCTTCTGTGCACAGCTTTTGCTTTATCTATTGAACTGCTCTTATCTCTACCCTTGAGTTTTCTCGTCTTTACCCTTCTGATTCTCTCCCCTATTCAACCAGGGAGGAGTGAGAAAGCAGCTGAAAGCAGCTGAGTGGGGCCAACTGCCTGCTGAAAGTAAGTCACAACACTCATGTACAATCAAACTAATTGTTTACTGTGCCTGCTTCAATTTTACTGCTCTGGACAGAGAATCCTGGAATAACTAGAAATAAAAAATATAGAAGTTGCTTTTGCCTCTTGTGTGAGCTTTAAACATGCTTGAACTTTAAAGATGCTTGCACCATTTGCAGTGGAATTAAAAATCCAGGAGATTCTAAACCTCTGACAGGAAAAAGAACATTTCTTAAGCAAAAATGAAACTTTAAGACAATTTAACTACCAATTAATCATAATAACATTTTTAAAGCATGAATTAGCACTTCTTCAGGTAAAAAGCACACACAGTCATGATGTAAATATGTATGTTGTAGAGAAGTAGCATAAGCTGTATGTTGTTTTAACTACTGAAGCACTATTTTTCCCCTCCATTTCCTGCAGCAAATAGTAACAAAGTATGCTTACTTACCAAATAGTTTATAGTAGTACTCTCTTCCCCACGGCCCATATACTTGAAAAAACGATGATCAGCCACTACCAACATCTTGCATGTGTTTTTGGAGTTGTCTGTAACAGCTCTTTTCTTCCGATGGACGCTTGCTAATGTGAACATTTTAAACACAATTAAACAAACACTTGATAAAACCACCACTGTTGTGTCTATTACCCCTATATAAGATATAATGTGAGTCTGGGTGGGTTTTTGGAGACACTGGGGGATGTTTTGATCTTGGGTTTGGTTTTTGGGGGGTTTTTGGTTGCTTTTTTAAAAAAAGTATTCTTAAACTTTGTCTTCATAACAGTCCTTAAGCTTGTTGTAAGGAAGCAAACATACAGTAGTGAAATTGAGACATTCAACAAATTTACCTACAGAGCTTTTACAGTCATCATCTCAGCCTCAACCCCTTTTCCTCCTCCTGTTCCTAGTCATGATCCCCATATCTCTGTTGCCACAACTGAGGAGAGAGGGAAGAGAGACCCAAAACTCTCAAAAAACTCAAAATGGGTTCTCAGAATGACCACTGAGGGCAAAGAGGTCTTGCTGCACAGTGCACAGAAGTACAGCTGCTTTAATGTTCACTTATACTGCTGCCTGCTATCACACTGAATACTACTCAGGCCTGGTGAAGTAGCTTCCTCTCCATAGCCAAGAGTTTGGTAGGGCCAAACATGCTCTCAACATGCCCCTAGTGATAGTTTCCTCCTTCAACTGGGCCTTTTTTTGATTAGGGAGGGGGCATGAAGAGGAATGCTGCTTTAATAGTTAAACTAGAAGTAGCAACACAGATTATTGCCCAGGTTCTGATCTTACTTGCCAACACAGCCAGAATTCAAGATTTCAAAAATGCTGCTCTCCCAAGGTATGGACACTCACATTCATTTTGCTTCCTGTCTTCCAGTCCTTTTGGCAACAGTTCTTCTTCATTCAGCTTTAAATAACCACACACCTTGGGGGACTGCAATCTTGAGAAATCTTTAATATCTTCAGATCTGTAGACCAGCAGTCTTTCATCTTGTACATTATCTACAAATCTCCACAGTGGCTGACATCAAAAGAAGAACAAAAATACAACTAGTTAGGAACACAATGAATGCAAAGACCAAGTTATATTAAAAAAACTGTAGTTATGTGTACACACAAATACATTGGATTCTAATAATCAAACCATAGTAATAAGTCTGATAAAACAGCATCCCCAAGAAAGCAAACAGAATCCCAACATTTTTATGTTACACAGGCACCCAAAAATCAAAGATCATCTCAAGAGAGCAGCAGCAGCCAGCTGATAAAGCTGTGGAAGAGACATAATTTTTCTTTCACTCCAGAATATGAGCAAGCTGAGGAGGCATCTCAGGCTCACCCACTCCCTCTGTAACAGTAGGGAGACTGGCACAGCTGAGGGGGAGATGCTTAGACTGTGCTAACAAATGCACTGACCAGAAGCACAGGAGCTGGCAGATAACAGAGAATATCTAAGTGCACAGCAGAACAGTTTTCACAGCAGAAGGCAGGCTCCTCCATGTTCAATAGCTACTCAAGTCACTTATAATCATGAAGATTTCTCAAAAAGCAAAGAAAACCAGGAAACTGTGAAGTTCCACAGTTTTCCTAACTCCCATAGCAGACACATACTGACCATCTTTTTTTTTTTAACCAACATGTCCCTATTATTATCTGTACAAAACAGCTACAGCAACACCACCAAATACAACATGGCCAGGGGGAGTTCTTTGGGCAAGACCAGGAAGTACAGACCACCCATGTCAGCATTGCAGAGTACATAGGTCTGGTTCTCCTCTTGCCCTTAGGCAGTGGTCTTCCAACTTCAGACTTAGCGTACTGTGCTTTTGGTCCACAGCTAAAAAATCCTGAAATGAAAAAAGGCTGTGCTGGCTCTGCAGCCATGTGTCTACACTGCAAAACTGAGGGCACAGATTTTGCATCCTAGGGAAAAGTACAAGGGCACCAGGGGTTTACACGAAGGCCCGCATTCTTTCCAAATGGTGCCGGAGGACTATGAAAGCAAAGGAAGGCAACACCAGAAAGCCTTTGTCCATGCTGCTTTTTGGGAATGGACTGAGGCACACAACACTGCACGGGGGCATCATCCTATCCAGACTGGTCAGGGGCCAAAGCTGACTCTGGGATGCTGGCAGCTAGGCAGTGTGGGCAAGCTGGAGCCTCCAAGCCATTGCTGGCCTCTATTTAAGCTGCACAGACACAGCCAGTGAGGAGCAACAGAGCTGGCTGCATGGGAAATGAGATGTGCTTGCATTACTCTGGACCACAAACCCCAAAATGCTTAAGAAACCACAATCAAATGGCTACTATATGCTCTTAATGCAAAACATAAGCACAGCGGTCTGGGTACTCCAATCACATTTTCATACTTTAACAAGTTTACCCATAATTCTGCATATCCTTGGGTTTGAAGACAATTACAATACCCATATAACAGTCAGCCATAATTACTGTTATTCAGCCATTCTCATACAGCTTGTGTCTGGGAATATACTTCACTGAACAACTCATTTGAATAGTCTCTAATTATATATTTCTTTATTTATTTTTTTAAAACCAAATAGTTTAAAATAACACAAACAATTAAAATGGTGTAAAAAAGAAACTAGGGAGCAGGGAGAAATAGAAGATTTTCAAATAAAGCTTAAAGACTCAACAAAGCAAAAATTTTAGAAAACTCAACAGACCTCAACTCTGCTCAGAAGGCTGCACAGTTTGTTATTCTACAGGACATGATCACCACTGATTACTAACTCTGTTTCTAAACCCCTTTCTTGTGTAAAACATACCTTCTCCCTGATATATATCAAGCATGCAAATGTCAGAGAATGTCAGTTACTAATAAAATTCAGCACTTGTGAAAGTTAAATTGGTTTCACATTTCTCTCCCTCCTCCCTACTCACAACAAAACAAACACCACCACCAAGTCTATTTAGAGCTACTGAGGTGTTATAGTGACTATATAGGAAGAGAAACACCCACAGGGAAAAGAGATGATTGTTTGAATATTCCTTTCAACAGTAAATCATACCTCTATATTGTACTCTTCTCCATCAGTACTGATTCTTACTGTAAAGTCTTCATCCCCAATATGTGCCAAAACCTTGGAATTATGCTCTCCTTTGGCATAAGCAAGGAAAAATAAAATTAATTCAGCTTTATTTGCTCGCACTCCTGCACAGACGCTGTTGTGTTTTTTAAAAACTGTTTTTAAACTTCAAGCAGAATTACCTTCCTAAGTCCTTGAAGAACAGCACACAGTCCAGTTTAAAGAAAATAAGAAACAAACCAGCACTCCCCCCCAACCTTAACTTCTCAATGGTCATGGTCATAAAGACTCAGATTCAATAGATAATTTTGCAGAACATGTTGAGATGGCTGTGGGGATTAGTAATGGGACCCAGAGTATTTCTGCCAATAAAAGCAGCTTGCATCTTTCTACTATCAGACAGCAGTTTCATGGCGTCAGCCTGCATTCCAGTGGAAAAGACCTCCACCACATCACAAAGGCCACATAAAAAAAATCAAACCAACTTAGCGGAAGCATTAGTGTTGGGCTTAAATGGAGCCACACACTCTGTATCTACAGAAAGACACTCTTAATTTACAGGAAAGTAGTCTGCAAAGAACCATCTTAATGTGTTTTAGAATAACATTATAATGTGTAATATCACAACTAACTATTGGGGCCTTATGTTCCGGGACAAGTAATATTCAAGTCCTACATTCCAGTTGGAATTAAAGCCACCACCATAATTTAAAGTAAAAATAAAAAATAAAAATCACAAGCTGCTGCTTGAGTAAATTATACCTTTGTGTTCTGCCAAACTAAACAAAAAGCCCTATCTCAGAACCTGGGTACAATAGCTCAAAAAAAAACCCACAACCCACCAAACCTAAAAAAACCCCCAAACCCACCACAAAAACTCCACAAAAAACAAAACCAGAAAAACCAAGGAGAATGAGAACTAAGTTTACTTGTTCATCCTAACCATATCTGATGAAAATGAGGGCAATACACCATTTACTTTGGCCAAGAGACTTGTGCAGAGCTGTACCTTCTCAGCACTGATACACAGTCTAGTCCATACTAACCAACGACATGTCCGGTGAAAAAGTCTTGCCACTGAACACGATACTCCTTTTCCTTGCCTTCACCATCCACAATTAATGCTTGAAATTTTTCTGAAAAGTGTTCAGCAGTTGCAGTTAAGTATAATTTAAAGTGCCTGTAAAAGAATTTACTTCCATTTATTTTCCAGCAAAGTATACACATAACAGATAAAACCAGTCTCCATTTTACTAAGGGTGTGAAAGAAGTTAGAAAGCATTAATTCTGATAAGCAGACTACAAAACCCTATATTTTGTAATTCATAACTGCAAAGATTTTTTTAAGAGATAAAGATGTTCAATTAAAAAAAGTAAACCCCCATATCCAAAACAGTTCTGGTTTGCTCATGATGCACCTTTTGCTTTTGTAGAGAAGTAAAACCAGTTACTGGTAACTATTTAAAGAAAAACAATGAATTTGTTCATCTATTTTAAATTAAATAATCTTTAAGTTATACAGTTAGAAGACCATAAACAGAAATCTGATCTCTTTAGATATTTATGATACATTGTCACAAAAACTAAAGGCTATCCCAAGAAGTAGAGAACCTTCTCTGAAATGAGCCTCCTGGGCTCTTGGTTTATGTGGGCTTTGGGTCAAAGATTTTTGTTATGCCCCCTGCAATTATTCTGTAATTATCACTGGTAGTATTGCAACCTCATCGTAAAGTCAGGGTACATGAGGCAGGGCAAAACAGGGACAGCCAGACATTTGATCCCATTAAGCTTTTAAACTTGGTACTTAAAAATTACCCCTCCAAACATTTAGAGATTCAAAAAATATGCACAGCAACTTGCACAACAGTTGTAGTTATAGATGACAGACGTGGGAAGGCACATGAGAACACAGAAGACAATGTCAGATGAAGAAAATCAACCTCCACTTGCTAATACATAGCATGATGCCCACCCTGCTTCTTCATTTTAGATTCAGAGTTTCAGCACTCAAATACTTGTAAGGCACTTTCCTGACACTCAGAATAAAAACCCTACAATCTTCATGCCTGCTCTCTACTACCTCTTGTTCCCCTGTCATCTGTGCTTCTATTTCCCATCTTATTAAAAAATTTTTAAGAGTGTTTTATTGAGCGGGAAATATACCCTCAGTAGGAAGAGGATTATGTCTCCATGAAAAATGTAATAAATCTCCTGGCCAGCACATCACACACAATCCTGAAACTCAAGATACAGATTTTCAGGAACCAGAGGACAGTCAAGAATTATGACATATTGCAAGATGAGGTGAAAGTGGATCTGTGATTCTGTGAACCAGTGGAAGTAATTTACATGAAACTAAAGCTAAAGAAATCTGAAATCACCACCACTTCAGCAAACAGACTTAATACAATGTAACTTATTTTTCCTTTTTGAAGTCATATAATCATGTAGATCACTAACTTAGAAGAAATGGCCAGCCATGTCAGAAAACAAGGTAGCTTTCTGAGTTTGGAACTGTGCATTATTCATCACAAACTGAAGGGAAATATAAGACTGTTTCATTGCTGCTTATTAAATTACCTTTGCAGGGCTGAAAAACTTAAGAGTCTCTCTACATGTGCCTCAGGCTGGAGGTCCCTCTTCTTCAGTGAGTGCTGCTGGATGCTAGACTGAGAAAGGATGTCGTAGTCTGAAAGCATGGACTCAATTGTGTCTGGAAGAGCAACAAGGAAAGTTTTAGTTTCAAGAGACTCTATCACAAATGCACACATAAAGCGGCAAAACAGCTTCTGATGTCCACAGCAAGCTCTAACTTTAGGAGGTGCATTTTGTGCAGGCAAGTAGAAATTGTACTGTGAGAGAAGGCACGATCTAAAGAGAGGCAAACAAAGAAGTTAATTCACTTATTACAGCCATTTTTTAGAAACCAACACATCATTTTTACTGCCTCAGCTATGCAGAGCTAACGGCGTCCCTGGCTGCCCCCAGAAACTAAGCGGAGGAGACGTCCCCATTTCTTTGCAGTGAATTACTCCTCACCTGCTGGTCCCCAAGTCTAAAGAAGAAAATAATTAAACCTAGGAATTATCTGCAGATTCACTGCAAATCAGGACTGCATTTATTACCTTTCTGTCCAATGGTAGCCAAAAAGATGTCTCTGTAGCCTAGTCAATCAGAAATATCTAAAGAGGCACCTCCAGGTACCTTGGTTTCCCTTATCATCATGCAAAACTACCTTGATTTCCCTATTCAGAAAACAAAAACTTGTACAGAGGATGGAGACCAAGGGCTCGATCCCCTGTGGGGAGCAGCACACAAATTACAAATTCAGGTCAGTATTCTGCAGATTCTTCCAGCATTAACAAGAGCACAATGCTGGCTGCCAACCACATTTGACTCTTGCTGATAAAGCCTCCTGCTGCTTTTAAACGCATACCTCTGCCAGGAGCACCCAACCATGCTTCTCCACTCTACAGCACCCACCACCCAGTAAGACACCTGACAACTACCTTTGCTTCCAGCAGTGCCAATCAATTAATCTGCCATTTACAGAGGCCCTTATTCCCTCATTGGCAACTTCCTTCTCTGCCAGAGGTGTTCACTCTTTTCACTACACCAAATGAGGAAGTCAGCTGTGTTTTACAAGAGGCAAAAGTGCTCATCCAGTCATTCTTTATTTTAAAAATTCCCATTTTTCCCCTTCCATTTCCAGCTGTGCTTCTAAACCAGACACAATAGCTACCAAAACGGGTTTATATTAATGAAGATGACTTTCCACTTCTTAGGGCCCCTGATCACTAGCTTACTCCAGTCAACCAAGTTTTATACATGTTTTATAGAACTTCTAAGCAGCACCACTAGTAAGCTGAGTTCAACTGGCTCTTGTGCAACAAGCCAACACTGTCAACTTGAAATCTAAATTGGTATAACTCCTGAATTTTTTTAATTCATTTTTTTTTAAATCTGACACATAGTGCCATTGTTTTTCCCCAAACACATGCCTCTAAAGCCCAAGAAAGCCTTTAAGAACAGGCACACTGTTTAAGCCAAGGTAAGCACGTTGATTTTTCTTTCGCAAGGGGGGAAGGTATAGAGAATTAACCACCAATGTATGTGCTTCTGTACACTGGAAGTGAGGGAGCTGCAGGAACAAAGATGACCCTCGCAGCTCTCTTGCCCTCACAGCACCAGACCTACTAACCAAGTGACGGACACACAACACAGCTCCCTTCTCCAGCAACAGTTCCCAGGCTTCTCCCTCCCCAGCTGCCCCTCCCCTGCCATTGAGCAACACAGGAAGGGCAGTGCAGTTGCAATTTCCTGATTTCTGTTTACAACCCACAGGTTGAGAGCACCTGCAATCGATTACCATGTGTTTCGGGTTATACGCACAGGCAAGTTTCCACCACCTTCCATCATGGCGTGTTTTTTTTTTCCCCCTTCTGTGCCAAGGAGGGTAGGGAGGAGCAGGGAAAATAAATTCTGGAAAAAAAACCTTATGAAACTCTTCAGTCCTAAATTGTTTTAATTAAACCTCAGATTCTTTCAACAAAGCTAGAGCAGACCCCTCAATTAAAAATGAATGTTGATATATGGGATACCAAATATACATTTGTGATACACAGCAAGTGTGTGTGGTATGTGGGCCATGAAGCAAAAGAAGTGTGGTACCATGGTACCACTGCACTGCTTGGGAATTTACTGAGCCCAAGGTCTGCCCAAGAAGCACAACCCCCACTGCAAAACACTCCTTCTGCCCCTTTCCACCTCTGCCTGCAAAGTATTGCCCAGAACCAGGGGAAGGTCATGCCAAAGAGCAAGATGCAGCTGGCACTACCACCAGTCTCAGTTTCATGGAAAGAGATCTGAGAGATCAGCTAAATAAACTAGTTGCTTTTATTTGGTAGGCAAGGAGAGCTTCAGAAACCCTGCTTCACCTCAACACACACACAAACACTTCTGGAAATGTCTGAGACATGGGAAGTGTAGTAAGAACAAGACTTCCAGAGTTGAAGAAGATGAGTAAGATGATACTGTTAAAGTAACAAATGAAACACAGGACACTCCTAGTTCCTGTAACACTGAAACAAGAATGCACTTGTTTGCATTTCCTCTTACCCTTCCTAAATTTGTTTGCTTTAAAATGTACTTGCGACATAAGCAAAGACTTAATAAATGCTGTTGCTAGGCTTAGATCTGTGAACTAATTCAGGTGTCAGACAGATGTGAAAAAATATTTCAATAACACACTCAAAAATTTTAATGTAAAATGCACATACTGTGAAAATTAATCCATGGTCAGGGCTTACTGAAAATAAAAGATGAAGCATCATTATTTTAAGGAAAATAGAGAACTGTACAGAGTCCAACTGTACAGGATTCTGTGGATGGGAGCCACACCAAGCATATACTTTAATAGTTTTTGTTCACGTTTAATAAGCTTTCTGGCATTCCTTCTTCATTTTCTTCACTATGGTCCAAGAGTAATTTCCCATGGGCTTCAACAGCACTGAGTTGACTCAGGTTTTCCCAAACCACTTTCCTGCGGTTTCTTCCTTTCCGGCCCCTCCTAGATCTCCGCATTCCTCTCTTTTTGGAGAAGGATACCTTCACTTCATCTGATATTCCAAATATTTCCTTATGATTGCCAGCCTTCCCCTCATTACACCTTCTGTCCTGAGGGGGGGACCGTCTCAGAACATACACACATCAGGCTTGTAAAAGAAACAGGGGAAGAACATCAAAGATGATAACCCAAAAGTTCTCAAGAAGAAATCCACAGCAGTGACTTTTACTCTGCTTCCAATTTTTAACTCATCAACTCTTTCCTCCTTTTCTTTCCCCTCATTTCAAGCCTACTGCCACTAGACTCTGCAATTGAACATGGTAAAGTGTCCTTTATATAAATTATGGGCCAGTATGCATTGCAGCAGGCTACTCCAGCAGCAAAGAGCTCAAAAATGTGCTGGGCAACAGCTTAGCTCCCTGAGTTGGAGGCCACTGCATGTATTTCAAAAGAAGAAGTTTCTCTTTCTGTACTCAGCTACCAATTCAAATACCAATGGCATCCTTCTCCAACCAGCTTTCATAAGCAGAACAGTATATTCCCATGATCTCATGCCCAAATCTATTGCCCGGAAAGCAACAAGTAAATGTGACAAGTAAAACAATTCATAAGCATTCTTTTGCATGGCATCATTTATAGAAAGGTTAAACTTACCTAGAATCACAAAGTTTTAACCCAGAAGATATAATTAATATTTTTTAAAACTCTCTTCACAGTTATTCAGTGATAGAAAATGTGTCTACTTTAAACACAAGATCCAACAATATTTTACAAATATTACTTTTAGAGTTTAAAATTGCTCACAAGAGCATCAGAGGGGTTTGCAGGAATGATTGCAGTTATTTCTCCAACCATGCCAAAGGAAATAAAAGCAGAAATAAATCTCCCATCAAAAGGCACTGAGATGGGATGACAAGCCTACAGAAAATAGCCCTAGAACAAGCACAGCAAACACACTCCGGGGGGATTTTGCAGAGTGCTATCTCCAAAACTGAAGAAAGGGCTCCAGTCTGTATTTTCCGCAGCACTCATCAGCTACAGCCTTGGTACTGATCTTGAGCTGATTTCCAATAGGCATCAAACATCCATCAAAAGCATGTGAGCAACTAATAATTTTTCCAGTTCAGCTGAATGGTTGAAGGGCTCCATATTCTTTATTGTTACTATTTACTTTTGTATTCTCCAAATTATGCATTTCTTCATACATTAAAATATTTTATTAAAGTAACCGAATGTAATAACCTCAAATATAATTCACAGCCTCGGTCAGAATCTGAACCAGGAAACACAGACTGGAGTCTTTACAACCTTAACTATATGAGCTAAAGCATGTCTCCATCACCCTACACAAAACAGCTGCCCTCATGTTTTGGTAACAGCCGGTTACTGACTGCAGTACAACAGAATCACTTGACTGGAGCACTATTCCAGGAAGTGCTAATGGAAAAGGCAAATACATTCACATCTCAGCTGGTCCACACAGTGTCTTCACCAGGCAGGAGGTGATGCAGTCACACCTAAATCTTTATGAGTACCTTCTCTTAACAGTTTACACTGCTTTCAGGAGACTGCTGATGAAGAGGACATATTGAGAAGATCCATCTGTGGGAAAGCTGTTCCATAACAGCTCATTACACACACTGTTACATCTTTTTCCAGTACAGCTGGTACAGAACCATTGCCAAAGACAAAGTGAATTGAAACACTTATCCCATGCAAAACAGACCATGCCTTTAACAGTTTAGATAAATAACGTTTACTTGTTTCCACCAAAGAGCGGCTGCTGTTTTGCTCACTGAGTATATGCGAGCAGAAGAACTTCTGTAAGAAACAGGTTCAAAGCAAGAACCCAATGTATGTCAGCCTGCTTATAAACCATAACAGGATGAAGGTTTACACTCTGTTTAAACACATTTCTAGACAAACGTGTTAGTAAAAACAGCCAGCCATGTCAGCACTGCTGAATGTTTTAAAAGGCATGTTTTTTACTTGATCCAAGCACCAACAAACTTGCTAAACAATGTGAGAAAACAGGGTGCCCCAATTCAGTTAGTCACCAGCGCAGACAAAGCCTCAGGGTACAGTTAGGCAGAGCTCACACTGGGAAGTAAGGAAGGCTGCTGACTTACCATCTACCA